CATCAGAGAAGGAGACATTCGTCAGAGAGACAGAGACATCAGTGAGACACCTGAAAGACAGCTGACACCAGTCCTGCACTGTTGGAGCACACAAGTGACTAGCAGCTCCTCAAACAGACACGGGAGCCGAGCGCAGCTCCCGTATTTGGTAACGATTGACAGAGCCGAATTCGAAACCCAGCTTGCCTCCACCCTCTTAAAACACACAATTCACAGAGAACGTATGGGTGTGAGTGACAAAGGTCACGTTAAGAGTCACTCAGGCAGATCAAGATGCAGCTACAGCGAATTCAGGGGGAAGATCCTGAGTTTGAGGCAACAGTCTGCAAACTAACCTCACCTCCCGCAATGTGCCGGCAAAAACTGCACAGGATCGTGTTAGGACAGGCAGCCTTGCCACCCAAAGTGATAACAGGACAGCATAACACTAACCATAGATCAGAGCACCAACACCACGGTTTTATTCAGGGAGCTCTGGCCATCTTGAGCTCTTGTGCCCGTCAGATGGGAGAGACAGTGGGAGCCCGAGACAGGACAGGCTGACAGAGAGCTGAAAGGGAAGACAGCAGGAGGAACAGCAGCCTGGTTTTTGGAATAATAATGTGTCTGCGGGAGCACTGCAGCAGCAGAGAGGCAGAGCGGGAGGTATTTACTGTAGTTCCTGTGCAGGGACACACACACAGACTCCGGGCGTTCCTGCACCTTCTTCCTTTCCATCCTGCGCGCCCGGGGCCTGACCTCTTCGGGACCGAGCTCCCTGCACGTGCCCCTCCTGGATCGGACTCACAGTGCCCACCAGAGGAACGGGGCGGGCAGCCTGCTGGGATCACGCGGCTCCCAGACTCATTCTCATTGCTTTTTTCCAGACCGATGTAGGGAAAAACAAAGGACCGCAGTTCATCGCCGCATTTTCTTAAATGCAGGATCACTGTTTCTCCTACCGCACTCTCACAATCCCAGGTCTAAGGGGAAGCTGAAGGGAACAGAGTCCTCAGGACACCACGGGGCAGTGATACAAGTATTCAGCTGTCAGTTACCGACAGGCTGAACCAGAGTACCAGAATACCAGGAACAGGATTTGGAGCAGGAGGCACTTCTTTGCACAAAGAATGGCAGGAGTAGGGAACAACTAGGGCACACGGAAGCAGATTCCTTCGGATCCCTCAGATGTGCTACCAGGAACCACAAGGGAACAACAGGCTCGCCTGGAGCCTCTCCTCTGTTGTGGCCTTCTTTCACACTGCCGGTTCACCCCACTGTTCTGGGAACAGCTCACCCAATACTACACAACCAAGTTC